GGAAGGGTGGGTGAAGGGCGGGAGAGCTGGTTGGGAGTGGGCAGGAAGGCAGGCCTGCCAGGAAGGTGAAGCCAGAGGCAGGGAGGGGATCAGAGTTTGGGGTCTGCGTCTGGACAGAGCCAGGAAGCAGAGGGCTGGGCGGGCAGAGTGAGATGTGCTGGGAAGGGTGGGTGAAGGGCGGGAGAGCTGGTTGGGAGTGGCAGGAAGGCAGGCCTGCCAGGAAGGTGAAGCCAGAGGCAGGGAGGGGATCAGAGTTTGGGGTCTGCGTCTGGACAGAGCCAGGAAGCAGAGGGCTGGGCGGGCAGAGTGAGATGTGGGGACCGGGTGGGGAGCGGTGTCTCAAGGCTCAGGTTAGTGTCTGGGAGGCTGGCAGTGCCAGGCTGGCACCGAGGTACTGCTACCTGCCAGCACTCCTCCCCCTAGGTCTGAGAGTTCATGGGCTCTGCCCCTCCTTACTCAGCCTGGCTGCCAGGCACACCTGCCCAAGTGCTTGAGGCTGGGGCTGGCAGACAGAGGCCTTCTTCAAAGGGCCAACAATGGGCTCCAGCCCAGCCTGCTGGGGACAAAGGGCCATCTGAGCAGCCAGCAGGGGCTTGTGTCCCTGGGTGGGGATGGGAGCACCCTGGGAGGAGCCAGGAGGGGGCTAGGAATTCATGGTTATCTGGGGGTGGCAGGGGTGTGACACTTGGTCCCATGCCCAGGGATTAGCCTGGCCAGGGTCATCAGGGGACAGGGGAGTGTGTCTTGGAGGTGTCAGGGCAGGCTCTGGGGCAGACAGAGGGAGGACTCATGGGTGGACCTTCAGGGTGCTCAGGGTCGGGTGCCCAGCATGGGACAGCCCAGGAGATGAGTCTGCCAGGCTCCACAGCCCCTGCTGGCTCCTGTGCTTTGGGAAGCCTGCCTTGCGCACCCGAGCCTCCTGGGCTGTCTCTCTCTGTCCTCCTGAGTCAATGGGCTGGGGAGGTGGTGGGGAGGTCTGATGCAGCTTTGAGCCTCAGCACGGAGCCAGCAGTGGCAGGGGTGGGCAGGGGTTGCTGCCTAGGCCCAGCATGAAGTGAGGAGCGAGACTGGGCAGATCAAGTGCCCTTGGTGCTGGCCAGGACCCTTCCTCCCCCACCCCCAGGAGAGCCAGTGACAGCTGCCAGCAGGGTCAGGGTCCCAGGGAAATTGTGTCCCAGTTTAATCAGTGTCAGTTTACTCCTGCTGAAAATGAGGCCACTCTGTTTAACCAGATTCAGGCCTTTTCCCACCCACCCCCACCTCTCCTGCAATGGGGTGCCCATGGGTGCTGGCTGCTGATGCCCACTAAGGTTGGCACTCCGAAGAGGTGAGGCAGCTGGAGCTCAGGGCACCCACAGAGCTGACTGTGCCCATCCCACCCCCGCCTCAGCCCCTCCTGACTCTAGCCTGTCCAGCTTTGAAGTGCACCTCCTGTTGCTTGGGCCTGCTTGGTCTGATCAGGGGTCTGGGGCCCAGCAGTACCTGGCATTCAGTGCTGAGGTGCCCACAGGTGTGAGCACTGAGCAGAGCCTCTTCCAGGCAGGAGCCTGCCTCACCAGCTCCCATCCCAGGCATCAGGCCTTACTTGGTCCTCAGGGAGGGGAACCAAGATGGGTCATTAGCTTGATGGGAGTGAGGACAAATGGCCCCAGCTGGGGTTCAGGTTCCCCTGGAACATGTGCCTCTCTGGGCCTCAGTGTCCCCGTGACTATGGGTCAAGGGCAGAAGCCATGGCAGCCTGGTCTCAGGAACAGTGAGAGCTGAGCAGGAGAGGTGGTGGCGTGGCCATTCCCGACAGTTCAGGTCCTGTGAGGCTCAGAGGGCTCTGGGCTAATGGCCTCTAGTGACTGGCAGCTGGGCAGCCCCCAAATTACCTTCCCTTGGCTGCAAGTAGCTGGGAGGGAGGTGAAGATTCCCATTTCTGAGGGGCGTCCCGGGGGGCACAGCAGGTTTGAGGCCAATGACGCTTTCGATCTGGGGCAGGTGGCACTGGTTTGGGCTGGACGTGGGAAAGCCCCTGGTATGACTGAAGCTGTGTGTGGGTGGAGGGGATCAGGGAGGAGAGGGGTGCCTGGCAGGAAAAAGCGGCCAGACTGGTGGGAAGGAGGACAGGGTCCAGAGGAGAGAAGACTGAGTCTGAGGGTGTGGGGCTTCGGAGGTGCCAGGTGCTGGACTGGGGCCGGCTCCTTGGGCCGATGACCTGCCCACCTCCCGCAGTATGTGGTCATCCCCACCTGGCACGCCACGTCTGTGGCCTTGCAGAGCTTCACCTCCCACCTGCTGGGGGACACCAGCAGCCCCTACCTCATCAGCTTTGTGAGTCACTTTGGGTGGGGGCTGGCCTAGGGAGGCTGAGGGCTTCGGGGGCTATGCCCTGACACCCACCCCCACATCCTCACAGATCTCAGACCTGATCTGCCAGAGTACCAAGAACTCCCTGCTCTGGGAGTTCCTGAGCCTGGGCTATGCGGTCATGCTCTGCCCCTTTGTTGTCATCCTGGCGGTCATGATCTTCCTCGCCATGGCCTCTTTCTCAGCAACTATGCCAAGGCTGAGCAGCAGTAAGTGGGGATGAGGGGAGGCCTGCTGGGGAGCCCTCCGAGGGGGTGGCGGAAAAGAGACCTGGGTGCACCCAGGGGTGACCTGGTTGCTGAGGTCCAGTCCCTGGGCCTCCCCACACCTGTGGGGCTCAGTGCCAGCATCAACCTGGAGCTGTGGTGGGCCACAGGGGTGTCTGGTAGGTCCAGGCTTGGACTTGGTGGTTTCCAAAGCTGGGACCCCTCCCCCTTCCTTTTCCTCTCACCTTCTTACTTCTTTCTCCTTTCCTCTTTACTCCTCTTCCCACCCCTGGGCTCTCCCACCTCCCCCTGGGGCTCACGAGGTCCCTGCCCACACCTCCGGTCAGCTGGCCCCATGATGCGTTGTGCCAGAACAGTGCCTGGGCCTGGCTCCTGCTGACACGCCATCCTGACCCCCGCCTTTCTCTCCCCCAGGGTGAACCAGCGGGTGATGCTGCCTGCATCTGTGCAGGCAGGGAGGCCCGTGGGGAGGGGGAAGGCCAGGGCTAGGTGACAGGGAGCACTCTTCCTCTGGAGTCCCCTCCTGCCCCAGCACCTCCCACCAATTCTGGGCTTGGACTCTGATGTTGCCAGAATTCACTGATGGAGCCACGGGTCAGGGCTCCTCCTTCCTTCCTTCCTTCCAAGGGCTGGGTGGGGCCTGGCTGGAACTCCCCACTCTATCTGGACTTCCACCCTCCAGTTCCTCATGGATGTACCAGGGCCTGGCTCCTCAGACCTTCCCTGTGGGAGCTAGAGCTTCCCAGCAGCACGAGAACCAGGGTCACAGCCCCAAGCCCAGGGGGAGGCCTGCTGCTCCAATGGCAAGGGGAGGAGGGATGGCAGCCTGGCAGGGGGCCCCACTGAGCCCTGTTTCTGACCTGATGCCCCTTTCCCCAGGTGCCACTGAGACAATGAAGAACCCACACTCCCACCTAGTCTGGAAGGTGTGCATCCGGGACCACCTGGGCTGCCCACGGGCTTTCTGTGTGATCCACGGCAAGGTGCCCACCCACTCTGGCTGGGGCCTGCTGAGTGGCCCTGGCTTCAGGAAGAGGCAGTGTCCTCAGTCACCCTGGAAAGCTGTGTGTGTTGGAGCTGTGAGGTTGGACAGATTCCTGGCCCTAAGTTTGGGCTGCCAGGCCCCTGGGGCCAAGGAAGAAAACAGCCCGAAGTGGGTGCCACCAAGAGCCTGGCTTGCCACTAGCCTATGTGATCCTGGGCCAGTCCCTTCCCTCCCTGGAATGAAGGCAACTTGCTGGGCAAAGCACGATCCACACCTTTGAAGACTCGCCAGGCCCTGGGCCATATGGAAAGGGAATGGTCTAGGTCTCGGGGCAGCAGTCCCAGGTTTGAGGCTCAGGTGAGGGCCGGCATGCAGGACTGCTGCTTCTCAGCTGGCCTCTGACCTTGGGGACATCAGACTCAACCTGGCAGATGAAGCTCAGTCTCTCTGGAGGCCACTGTCTCACGGTCTCAGGTTGGCTGCTGGCCTGGAGCTCCCAGGTGGGGATTGTTCTGACAAGCTGGCATCATGAGGGGTGAAGGCCATGGCTGCAGCGGCATAGCACCTGGCCCCCAGCCTTGTGGTCTCAGGGTTTCACACACCAGCCAACTTCTGCAGGGCTCCTGGTGGCCCCAGGAATATTTCTGCTGTCTAGCCCTTCGCTGCCACCACCCCAAGCCAGGAACCCACTCCCTCTAGAGGCTGGGCTGAGCCTTGGCCAGGGCCAGGGCCCAGGAGACCATTCCGAGAATTCATGGGGCAGCTGCCAGGGCTCTGCTGCTGGAGGAAGCTGCTCTCCCCAAAGTTTCCTGCATGGGCTGAGGCACTGGGAGATGCCAGTCCCTATCACACAAATGGCCCCCAGGGCCAGGCCTTCACCCTGGCTTTGATCACCCAACTCACACCTGTGCACATATCAGGATGCAGCTGCCAATCACACCAGCCCCAAACCCCTTTGGGGGACTTTAGTCCCTGTGTCACACACTCCCTGCACATTTGCTGCCATCAAGGCGGTGCTGGTGTCTGGGGCCCAAGGGGCCAGTTAGGAGACTCCAAGAGCTGGCTTGGACAATGCTCTTTTCACCCCCTAGTTACTGGCTGGCTGTGGCTTCAGTGGGTGTAAGCTAGTGGAATACCCACCCACCAAGCTCTGGGTACCCGGGGAGGCCTGACAAGGGTGGGCTGGTACCCCACAAAGCCCAGCCTCCACCCCAGCCTCAGCCAGGGCCCAAGTAATGTTTCCTTGTCATACAAGAATAAAGTCCAACTGTTGCCTCTTCCTTCCAGAAGCCAAACTGCTCCTTTATTTTTAGAGCTGCTGATTGTGAATCTCAGAGTCTTAGGAGAGAAGCCAAATATATTCCTCTTGTAAATGAAGAAATAAACCTATTTAATCACCCCCTGTGGCTCCCTCAGCAAAAAAGCCTGGGGGTCACACCTGTACCCAGCCTGCAGCCAGCATGTCACCCTGTACCCACCCAGGTGAACCCCAGAGCCCTGGACCTGGCCCACAGGGCCCTGAAGCCACAGTCCCAGCCTAGAACCGGGGGGGGGGGTGTCTCTGCATCCTGGGACCCCTGCAGGAACGGCTTGGGCTGTGCTTACCAGAGCAGGATGCCTGGGCAGGCAGTGACACCCTCCCTGGGGACAGAGCCTTAGAAATAGCTTGCATATTCAAATCATGGTGGAAAAACAGGATTATTGGGCAGATGGAGGCTGAGGGTGGCCTGCACTCGGCTTCCCCACCTTCCTCAGCTGCGTTTTCTTCTTGGTCCCACTCTGGAGCAGGCTGGGGCTCCTGATGACCAAAGGTGGCCTTGCCTTTTTCTGTGCCAGTGTGGATGGTGGTGATTTGTCCAAGACCCCCTTTTTGAGAATGGCCTCGTGGTGCTGCTTTTGGCCTGCAGGCTTCATGGGAGTTGGGAGCTCCATTCACCTTGGACAGCTTCCGGTTTTTCTTCTGCAGTTTTGTGGACTTGGCAGCAGTGTTGGGGCTCAGGGTGGGAGCACCAGGGGCTGGGCCCTTGGTGGTAGGCATCCCGTTCACCTGGTCTAGACCTTGCCCTTCATCCTGTTCCTCTTGCTGCATGTGCCAGCTGGCTCCCACCAGTGGCTGCAAGTGTGCCATCCTCTGACATGTTTCTTGTGATTGTCTCTGGCAAGAATCCCTTTTTCTGCTTCCTGCTGACGGGGCTCTGGGTGGCACTGGGGATCTCCTTGGTATCGTTCTCCAACTTGGGGTGCCTGAAGGGGAATAAGCAGGTAAAAAGGTGCCCAGTGAGGGCAGCAGCCACCTCCACCCGGGTCCCGTGGGGTTCCAGAGGCCCAGGGCTCCCATATCTGAGTGTGCGCAGCAGTGTGAGGGTGATCCTAGCCCTGCCCAAGTGTGCATCCCCTGCCCAGAACCTACTGCTCCCAGGGTTTTCATGGCCTGCCAGTAGAGGTCAAGTAGGCAACTGGAGCCGGTGGAGTGCACCCCCTGCCTCAGGCCCTGCTGCTGCCCCTGCAGCATGCCCAAGAGCACTGTCAGGTCCAAGGTCAGCTTCTGCAGAGGATGTGAAGGCAGGGCAGTGGTGGCCACAGGGGCAGGCCTCTCTGGGGCTCCTGGTGGTCTTCCCACCTTGGCCCCATTGCTGTCTCGCCAGCAAACCCTGAAGTCTCCTGGGCCTCAGCCTCTCCTGCCTGTTAAGGCATCCGTGTCTGTCTCACCATTGGAGGAAACATGTGCCCAGGTGTTGGTTCTCCTCCTCCCCACAGCTGCAGGCCTGGTCTCAAAGTCTCCACTGTGGCCCTGGTGCACCCACCTCCAGGAGGGCCATCCCCACCACTCCATCACCATGGGGCTACCAAAGCCCTTCCCCCCAGCTTCCCTGCACCTACTGAATGGGTTACTGTTGGAATCCGCTGGCTTTCCAGGAACCCCGCTCTCCTGGCTTCCTCGCTATCACCCAGTTTTGCAAGGCCCCATCCCGGGCCCCACCTCTGCCTGCTGGTGCAGCCTTGGCAAGCTCTCCCTCCATAAGGGCTGACTGGCACCTATGCTGAGGCCTCCCAAACCTTGCCCTCTGGGCCAGACTAGGGGACCGAGATGACCACCTACAGCTGCCTCCCAGCCCTGCCGTGTGGCTGCCCAACATGTCACATTCCAACCGTCCACACCCTGCACAAGGCCTGGAAACATGGCCTCCCTAACATATGTCTGCCCTGAGTCTTCTCCCATCTTTCACCGTCTCCAGCCCTGCCAACCCCTTCTCAGCTTTCTCACTAGACATGGCAGTGCCACACCCTTGCACCCTGTCCTGCAGGGCAGGGTGGCACAGTCCCTTCCCTAGTCACTTGCCCATCCACAGCTCTGTAACTGCCCAAATGACAGCCCAGAGCCCCAACCAAGGCACTGAGAACCTTCCCCACCATGACCCCTGCCCCCAAGGTCTGGCCCGGGTAATGGCACTGATGCCAGGAGGCCCTGAGGCCCCCAGGAGGAACCCGACATTGCCCTGGGCTGGGCCCCACCTCACCTCATGTTTACAGGTCCTGAAGACAGTACTGAGCAGCTCCAGGGAGGACAGCACCTGCTGGTGCTCTGCCTTGGTCTGCACAGGTTCTGGGGAGGGGTGGCCAGGCTGAGGTACTCTGGAGGGCTGTCAAAGCCTTTGTTTCCCAGCAGGGACTAAAGCCCAGAGGCAGGGACCATCTCCTGGGACAACCCCAATTCCCTGTCTCCCCGCCCCCCACACTCTGGGAGGCTCAGGCTCCAATCCTGGCTTGTCCTCTCCCAGAGAACCGATCCTGAGCAGGCCAGGAGGAAGGGTGCCTCCCGGCTATTACCTCCATGACCTTTGTCAGGACCTGGCTGATCAGCTGCTTCTGCTCCGAGTCCTGGAAGCACGACCTCACCTCCCGCATGGACAGGAGCAGCAGGCAGGCTTGTGCCTGTGGTTGTGTGAAGGTGGGTGCCTGGAGCCTTAGCACATTGGGTAGGAGAGGCTGAGGGGGGTGAGGGGCCTGCCAGGTAGGGCTGTGGGTGGCATGCAAGGCCACCTGCTGCTCTGGACTCCATGACCACCTGCTCTTGTGCCTTCATGTACAGGTGGGGCACCGAGGCCTCCCAGCTGGATAGAGGTGGGACCTCAGGCAGGACAATTCCTATCCATTCCTGGCTAATGCCATCTTCATTCAGTCAGTCTGCCCCCAGCAGTCCTGGCACCTGAGCAGACACTACTTGAATGTCCTCTGTGTGGCCAGATGGGCAGTGGTGGCTGCGGGAGTGAGGCCAGCCCCACCCTCTTAGTGCCTCCATGCTCACGGTGTGGCAGGGACGGCTGCGCCCATGTTCACCAGGGCAGCACTCTGGGGCCTCAGAAGTGGGTTAAGCAGGTTAATTCACACAGGCCCTAGGCTGGGCTGGCGGGGCCACCCTGGGCTTGTGACGTGCTAGACCAGGATGGGGAGCAGGCTCTTACAGAGCACCTGGCAGGGAAGGGAGGGTTGTGAGGCGTGGGTGGGGCTGGGGCTGAGAGGAGACCCCAAGTGGGCAGGGTGGGCCCTGACACTCACTGGGTGCCAGGAGAAGAGGCTGAAGAACATGGGGACCGTGAGGGGGCTGTGGCACTTGGTCAGGAAGGAGCTCAGTGCTGATGAGTAGACATGCATTGTGAGGTTCAAGTCCAGGCAGCCAGCAGCCTAGGTCAGGTGAGAGAGCTGGCTGAGGCCAGGAGAGGGCCTCTGGGATGGGAGCAGAGACTGGGCTAGCTTCGGACAGTGGAGGGTGAGTCCTGGGGAAGTGTAAAGTATGTGGGCTCCGCCTGGGCCAGGCCCTGCTCACCTGCGAGCCCTCGGACATGGGGCTGGGGTCGGTGCCAGCCTCCAACTCCTCCTGCGTCTCATGCACACAGTGCTGCCCTTCAAGATTCAGAGCAGGTAGATGGAGGCATTTAAGTGGTAGAGGGTGGTGGAATTGAGCTGGCGGCCAGCCTGCTCCACCAGCCGCACCACCTGGCCATGCAGGGCCTCGACGTGGTCACCCAAGTCATGGCAGTAGTGACGGCCACGGCACAGGTGGTGCCTGCAGGTGGTGAGGACAAGAGCTTGTCAGAACAGTCTTGGTCCACCCCACTCTGCCAAGCAGCACCAAGCAAGTCCCACTTTACAGGTGAGGAAACAGACCTGGAAGACAGACATGACCAAGGCCACAGAGGAAGGCAGGGCCACCTGCAGGTTGCTTGGGAGCTATGTGAGCTCATTGTGCTTGGGTGAGGGGGCACCCCACAGGGGGAACAGAACAGTTCCCCAAGTGGGGGCTGCACCAGGGCCAACCACCGCCTGGTGCACCTCTCCTGTCCATACTCATCCCTCGTGAGTTCTGCACTCAGAACCCTATGTGGCCCAGGGCAAGGACAGAGTGGGGACAAGAGGCAGGATGCTCAATGAGTGACACTGTCCACGCACGCTGGCAGAACTATCTGAGAAGGTGTGGCCTGGGGTGGAATGGAGGATGACTGCCAGTGATGCCCCCCACCCTGCAGACCATCCACACAGTGCCCAGGGGCCCAGGCCTTCAGCTACCCAGCACCTGAGCCCTGAAGGCAGGTCTGCACCTGGTGCCTGTCTGGCTCTCCCCCGCCTGCCATCACCTCCCTGCTGGGGCTGCCTCCAGCACAGCCCTGCCCAAAGCCTTCTCCACGCTGCCAGTCATTTCCAAAAAGGGAAACCAGACCCAAAGCCTTCCCCATGCCAAATGTCCCTGCTGAAAATGCCTCTGTGGCCCCAGCCCCACTAGGGTCAGGCGTGCGAGGTTACAGGGGCTTGTGGCCTCAGCCTCACCTGACCTCCCAGCTGGATGTCTGACTGCCTCACATCAGGATGCTCTTTCCCCTTTCTGCACAGGCCTCCCAACCTGACAAACTCCCACGTACACTGCACCTCCAAGGACTGGGTGTGTGTCACCTGCCACAGGTGCTGCCACTGTCTCCACCCACCCCAACACAGCCCCACTGGAGACTGTCAGGGGCTGGGATGGAACCCAGCTCCAGGGCACCACTCGCACATGTCAGGAGAACACCGGGATGGACCAAGGACCATGTGAGTCACTGAGTGACATGTGACCTAGGGCTGAGTGGTGAGCCTGCAAGCTAGGGCCCAGGCTGGAAGCTTGGCTCTCTCTTTCCTGTACAACAAGCAAGCCAGGAGTTCTTCCTGGGGACTGGGGGCTGGGGGCTGGGGACTGCTGGCCGCACCTGCCCGCCTTGCCCCCACGCTCACGTGAAGATGTACACCATCTTGTGCAGGAGGTCCTGCTCCTGCTTAGAGCTGCTGCTGCGCAGGCTGCACTGAATGATTCCCAGCAGTGGCTCCAGCAGCTCCAGGATCAGGACGTTCGCTGCTTGGTCACCAGCACCTCCACCAGGTCCAGCACCTGTAGCTGGGAGAGCTGGTCAGCAAGGAGGGGGCAGGGCATGGGTGGGCGGGGGGCGGTGATGGAGGCGGTGGAAGCACCAGCCCCCAGGCTCACCCAAATCTGGAAGTCACACTGCAGCACCTTCTCCTTCTGTGGTTTGCTCTTCTTGTCCTGCCGGGCCTGGATCCACAGCTTCTGCTCAGCAAAGAGGCTGGAGTGGTTCTGGTCCAGGACCATCATGGCCTCATCCCCCAGCTCCTCCTCATCCTCACTTTCCACTCCACCCTGAGGGACAGAGGCCCAGCAGTCAGCCTGGCTTCGGGCAGGTGGACACACAACATGGGGACTCAAGAGCCCTCCCCGGCTCTGCTCACCAGCGCCTTCGCAGCCTGCAGCACACTCATCAGCTGTACCCAGAAGCCCTGGTCCACGTCCTGTCACACTCCTCCTTCTCCTCGCTCTCCCCAACATCGCTCTCATCTTTACTCTCTGAGCCTCTGCTCTCCTCGCTGTCCTCGCTCTTGTCCTGTGGGGTGGCAGCAGGCTCGTCACACACCTCTGTGATCTTCCCACTCCTGCCACCCCACCTGGCCCACACTGGCAGCACCTCTGCAGCCTTCAGCCACCACTCGTCAGACTCGTCCATCACCACCACATGGTCATCCTCACCCTCACTGATCTCCGGGTTCAGCACCTGGGGAGGAGACCCAGCCACTGACCCATCTGTGGCCCCCACCCTCTTGACCAGGCCCTGCCTGGCCTTGGCCAAAGGTCCCCATTTCAGGGAAGAAAACAGAGCTTAAGAGAGGTGGCCACACCCTGCAAGACCGGGGAAGGGCCTCCCACCCTGGCACAGGCTGGCAGAAGGGAGGGTAGGAGGCCACAGGCTGAAGTGCTTCCCTACCCGGTACAGCTCCCTGCTCAGTGAGCCCCAGCCCAAAGTGCATTCCCAAAGGTCCCAACTCACATCCAGAATCAGCGGGCACGCGGGGTCAGGTGAGAGCAGACGTGGTCGAACATGCTCTGGGCCACTTGACACATGAGGTGGCTGGGCTGGGCCAGCAGGATCTCCACCAGCACCTCTACCCATGGTGGCTCCTGGGGATCTGCAAGGGAGGGGATTGAGCCCAGGCAGGGGACTGTTGGCCTCACTGTGCCACTTCAGTCCCTCTCATACCCAAGGATACACCCTGTCCCAGAAGCAAGGACCCACCAATGGCCTTGGTGTGGCTCCCATGGCGTCTCTCTCCCAGGCTGTTTCTGATGTAGGTCTGGATGTCACCCAGCAGGTCACAGCTCTCTGTAGGGGACTGGGGACAGGGTAGGACATGCACTGCGGACAGCCCTTCTGAGCCAGGCAAGGGGCTGGCCAAAAGGAAGCAGTGGCACCAGAAGCCTTCAACAGCCCAGCCACTGGCCCGCCCCAGCCAGCCACCCCACAATCCAGAATGGAAGACCTCAGCTGGACCCCAGAATACCCTTTTTACACCTAATATGCAGTTACAGGATCTGAAAACCTGCAGGGGACAGAAAAGGAGGCCAGCTCCCACTTTGACACTCAAGACAGACAGAGCTGACAAGGATGGTCAGGGTCCCAGAGTAGCCAGCAAACCCCAGCCCCCAATTCATAATTCTAAATGATTTCCTCCATGCTTGGCTCGGCAGGAGACAGAATTGAAAGGCACTAGTTTCAACTAATTTAATCATATCTGAACTCATCTGACGGGACAGCCCTGGACTCCAGGGACTGTAGTGGCGGAGTGTGTGCCTGTGCAGGACATCTTGACAACTGTGTGATCTTTGGTACCTAAAAGACAGACTTTTCCCTCAAAATGCAGTGGGCAACGTTTAGGCCAGGGTAGGAAAAGCAGCCCAAAGCCCTGGTCACTGCCCCCGGCTCCCAGGCTGTGTGCCACGCAGGTCCCTGTCCTCTGGGCTGCACCTCTTTAATTTATTCCTTTTCTCTGAAGTCTTGCTCTGTCACTCAGGCTGGAGTGCAATGGCATAATCTCAGCTCATTGCAACATCCGCCTCCCGGCTTCAAGCGATTCTCCTGCCTCAGCCTCCTGAGTAGCAGGGATTACAGGCGCCTGCCACCACGCCCAGCTAATTCTTGTGTTTAAGTAGAAATGGGGTTTCAGCATGTTGTCCAGGCTGGTCTCAAACTCCTGACCTCAGATTACTCACCTGCCTCGGCCTCCCAAACTGCTGGGATGACAGGTGTGAGTCCCTGCACCTGGCCACAGCTGCACCTTCTATCTGAAAGTGGGCACAGCAAACTGCAGCCTCCTCTGTGCAAGTCAAGACCAGAGACCCCAAGGTTGCAGGCTCCACGTGTGTCTTGGAATCAGCAGGGCTCCATTGCTATCAAAGGTCTGACGCCAACACCCAGAAGGGGCATCATGGGCAAACTTTACCCACACAACTCATCCACAGGCTGGGCTCGGACTAACCAAAGCTGGCAAGACCACAGCCAAGAGGCCAGACGGGCAAGTGAGAGACCCACCTACTCAGGCTATGTAAGACCAGCAGTTTCGATAAGAGCCTCCCATGTTGTGAGAAGAAAATTCTCTAAGAATCAGGGTAAGGGCAGATGCAGTGGCTCATACCTGTAATCCCAGCACTTTGGGAGGCCAAAGTGGGCGGATCACCTGAGGTCAGGAGTTCAAAACCAGCCTGGCCAACATGGCGAAATGCTGTCACTACGAAAAATACAAAAATTAGCCAGGCCTGGTGGCAGGCACCTATAATCCCAGGTACTCGGGAGGCTGAGGCAGGAAAACTGCTTGAACCTGAGAGGTGGTGCTTGCAGTGGGCCAAGATCATGCCACTGCACTCCAGCCTGGGCAACAGAACAAGACTCCATCTCGAAAAACTGACAGCCAGGCACAGTGGCTCATGCCTGTAACCCCAGCACTTTGGGAGGCCAAGGCAGACGGATCACGAGGTCAAGAGATCGAGCCAATGTGGTGAAACCCCAGCTCTACTAAATATACAAAAAAAATTAGCTGGGCGTGGTGGTGCACGCCTGTAGTCCCAGCTACTGGGGAGGCTGAGGCAGGAGAATTGCTTGAACCAGGGAGTCGGAGGTTGCAGTGAGCCTAGATTGTGCCACTGCACTCCAGCCTGGTGATGGAGACTCTGTCTCAAAAAAAAAAAAAAAAAAGACAGACAAACAAAAGAGGAATCAGAATACTGAGTGCTGAATGTGGTCAGGGTTTCCTGACGGGAAGAACTGAGAGGGAGACCCCACGGTTCTAGAGAACCCGTGGCCACAAGGTGTTCCCAAAGCCAGAGGGTACAGTGCAAGCTACTCTGCCTCTGAGTCTCAGTTTCCCCATGTCAAACATGGAGAAGCAGAGTCTGCCTCAAGTTTTGGGAATTAAGAAGGCCTGCCTGGAAAGCTCAGGACACCAGCTGCTGCCTGCTAAGGGGCCGGAGTGACGTTTCTTGGATGATAATTCTACCCATGATGAGGCTGGCTTAGGAAACCTCCCAACATAACTCCCCATGCCTTTCCTGGCTCCCCGCCATAGCCCTCATAGCCGCAGGACCCCAGGCTCATGGCCCCTCTGTCCCAGGCCACAGTACCTTGAAGAGGTAGATGACCATGAGCAGCAGAAGGTGTTGGAAGGTGGCAGCCCTGGGTTCTGAGGAGGGGCCTCCAGCTCCTTCAGAGTCTGCAGCATCCTGTGGGAAGCCAGGCGGATCCTCAGGCCCTGGCTGCCATCAGACCGCAGTGTCCTGCCCACGCCCTGGAAATCCCACCCGGTCACCCGTCCCAGGCCTGGCGCTGCTGCACAGTGAGGGGTGTCATGGGGCTCATGCTGTGGCTGTGATTTAGTAGCAGGTCTGCAAAATGTACCAGGTGGTAGGTCCAGGGCTGCCCGCCCCAGGTCTGCTCCGGTGCCAGCTTGAACTGTGTGCTAAGGGTCTGCAGCAGACTAGGCGTGGTCACCAGATGGATGAGTGAATATAGCTGCCTCCCTCTGCCCTCCCCAGGACCTGCTAGGACTCCCTGGGCCTCAGCCGTTGTCCCCAGCATAGGGGAACTGCAGGAAGCAGGCATCCTGAAGGCCTTTCCACCTTTGGACCTCTCCAAGGCTGCCCCAGGCTCACCTGAAGAAGGTGCTGCTGATGGTCTCTTGGACCTGGCGTTCCAAAGGGAGGGAGAGCTGCCGCCTTGTCTCAGGGATCTGGGATGTGGGCTTCTTTGTGACAAAGAACGAGTGAACAAACAAAATTAGGGGCAGGCAAAGAGCAGCCACCGCCGTTCACGGCCATTTGTTTCCATGGGCTCCCCTCCCCTGGTGGCACCACCCAGGGTTCAAGACCAGGAGGAGGAGGGGAGCCCTTCTGACCCCTTCTGCTCTCGGTACAGTCCTCAGGGCCCTCACTGGCAAGGCTGGAGGTGGCTGGGCCAGGAAGGGCTGGATCCCACATGGCTCAACCCGAGCTGGGGAGAGAGAATCAGTGCCCCCCTCAAAGAACCAAGAGACGTGAGGCTCTGTGGTTATGGCCGAGTCACGCCACTGCTCCTGCAAACACGGGGCCAGTGCAGCCCCCTCCTGCAACCGGGCATGCTGAGGGTGAGGTGAGCATCTGGCTCTGCTCGGACACAGATGAGGCAGGTATGGCGCAGGCTTCCCTGATGCCACCCATGGGCAAAGGCTCCCTGCAGGGCATGCACAGCACACCCGAACCTCTTAGGCACCTGCAGCTGGGGTGCCTCCTGGGTCTCTTCCCTACAGGCTCCTGAGGAATTCCCAAGTCCCCTTGTGCCTGCTCCCCACTGATGACTCAACCCAAAGGCTTCTGGCTCCAGAGGACACAAACCAGGATGAGTTGAGGGGCTCATTCCTCGACCACATGACCACGGGAAGCTCCAGCCCCTCTCATACCTGGCCACCTCCTCCGTCAAGGCCTCCTCCATCTCCACAAGGCTCACCAGTCTGAGGATGATCCATTTCCGCAGCCAGAACACAGCTCGCTCAGGCCTGGGGCGCAGAGGCGAGGTCATGTGAGCCACTTAGAATTGGCAAAAGCAGGCTGTGCCCAGTGGTTCACACCTGTAATCCCAGCACTTTTGGAGGCCGAGGCAGGTGGATCACTTGTGGTCAGGAGTTCAAGATCAGCCTGGCCAACATGGTAAAACCCCATCTCCACAAAAAATACAAAACTTAAGGCCGGGTGTGGTGGCTCATGCCTGTAATCCCAGCACTTTGGGAGGCGAAGGTGGGTGGATCATCTGATGTCGAGTTCAAGACCAGCCTGACCAACATGGAAAAACCCCATCTCTACTAAAATTACAAAATTAGCTGGGCATGGTAGCACATGCCTATAATTTTAGCTACTTGGGAGGCTGAGGCAGAAGAATCACTTGAACCAGGGAGGCAGAGGTTGCAGTGAGCTGAGATCTCTAGCCTGGGCAACAAGAGCGAAACTCCATCTCAAAAAACAAAAGTTAGCTGGACATGGTGATGGGTGCCTGTAGTCCCAGCTACTGGGGAGGCTGAGGCAGAGACTCACTTAATCGCTTGAACCCAGGAGGCAGAATTTGCAGTGAGCTGAGATTACATGCCACATGCCACAGCACTCCAGCTTAGTGAGACTCTATCGGGGGCGGGGGGGGGAGGAAGAAAAAAAAAAAAAAGAAAAGAACAAATTATCAAAAACAGGACATTCCTTTAACTTATCTCAGAGACAGAAAACCAAGCTCTCTCGCTCCCAACTGCCAGTGCGGGACCTCGGTTTCCTTGAGAGGTATGGTGCTTTCCCTCTCTCTGCTCATGGTTTAGGGCCAGGACACCGTGGGTAGGGGGGTGGGGGCAGGGTCGCTGAGCTCTGCAGGCTAGAAAAGCTAACCCCTGAAGGACGACGGGTCCTTCGCACGGTCCACTCACACGTGCAGTGCTGAGCTTTCTTCAGTGTTGGTGCTTAAGTCAATCAAGGAGTCCAGGTTTGGCTAGAGAAACATGCCCTGCAGCCAGGCCACATAGCCCTGCAGGGCCCAAGAGCTCAGGAACCGCATGACCCACCAGAAGGTAGGCACCACTGGGAGACCGTGGTTGGTGGTGGGGGAGAAGGCCACCAGCACGGCCAGCTGCTGCTCAGGGTCATACCAGCATCCCTCTAGGAAGGTGTCCATGTATTCCTCCATCTCCAGGGAACTTGAACTGGTTTGGGAGCTGTAAGAGTTAGGCATGGTGCTGAGCCCACAGGCTTGTGGCCTTTAGGGTTAAACAAAGGCCCAGGGTCTCCCCTGGCACACAGTAGGGCTGAGCCTGAGCTTGCTCCATTCCTGGTCACCCCAGTGCTTCTGTCTGGCGTCAAGGCCTCCCCGGGTCCGACTTCCCCAGCTTCAGTGCCTCTGGTCCCAAAAGTCCCCTCTCGCCACATTGCTGAGATTTTCCTGGCTCAATGCACAGGCAGAGCAGTTGTTAAGAGGCCAGACTGACCCAGGTTCAAAGCCTATGCTGCCAATTCCTCGCCATGTCATCTTCGGGACCCAACCCAACCACCTCTAATGCGCTGCCTCGGGGCCAGGACCCGTGTTCCACTTTTTGTCTGGCGGCTTAGCATTTTAGCAACCCTTTGCGCTTGGCCATTACCGCCATTGTGTAGGTGAGTAAAGTGAGACACAAAAATGCCTAGAATAAAACTCCTCAGGGTCAGAGGGCTCCCAGTGGGACCACGTCTGGCCTCACAGCCCAAGCTCTTCTCATTTTAATTTTCTCCAGTTGTGCCCCGGGAGTGCAGTGCCACTATCATGGCTCACTGCAGCCTCGAAATCCTGGGTTCACGTGATCCTCCCACCTCAACCTCCTGAGTAACTGGGACTACAGGTGCACACCACCGCCCAACCCAGGCTCTTAACCACTGCCTGATGCTTCAAGTCCCAGAATGACAGCTCTTGGAAACTTGCTGCAAAGATAAAATGAGCTGCCGAGAACAGTAAACCCAGCAGCGCTGACTGGGCACCGGGCACACCGGTGCTCAAACATGGTCATGATGACTGTTCTCATCACCGCAACATGGGCAGGGGTGGAGGGTGGTCTGAACAGCCCGCTGTCTACCCACACCTAAGTGGGGGCCCGCTCCTTTTCAAAACTGTCAGAGGGAAGCCGGGCGCAGTGGCTCACATCTGTAATCCCAGCACTTTGGGAGGCCAAGGTGGGTGGATCACCTGAAGTCAGGAGTTTGAGACCAGCCTGGCCAACATGGCAAAACCCTGTCTCTACTGAAAATACAAAAATTAGCTGGGTGTGGAGGTGGGCACCTGTAATCGCAGCTACTCAGGAGGCTGAGGCACGATAATTGCTTGAACCCGGGAGGTGGAGATTGTAGTGAGCAGAGAATGCATCATTGCCCTCCAGCCTGGGTGACAAGAAAACTCCAACTCAAAACAATCTGTCAGAGGGGAAGGGGTTCAGGCAGCTCACTACCCAGACAGTGGAGACACCCAGGTCTCTGGCCAGGCTCCTGAGCTGCCCTCTTCCCTTCTTGGCAAGGAGAGCACCTCCCTAGCCCTTCCAGCAGCATCGGGCTGCACAGGCGGTGCCTACCTTGGCCGTGCACATGTGCTCCATGTAATGGCGGATCACGTCTCCCTGCATCACCAGCTGCAGCTGTTCCTTGGTCAGCAGGGGAAGGGTGGTGCCCAGCAGGCAGAAACACAGGTAGCTAAGAGGGACTATGGGACCGAGCATGGTCAGAGCCCTTGGTCCCCCGGCAGGGACCTCAGGACTGGCAGTCCAGCCCCATTTCAGACAGGGAAGGGGGCCGAGAGAGGCCACATGCCACACGCACCTGGCTGGCCAGAACTGAAGCTTCAGCAGCCCCTGTTCCACCATCCCCTTCCAGAACTGCAGAAACTTGTCTTCCTTGAGAGAGCAGCTCCAGGGCGACGGCAGGCAGCTTTCATTCCTTCTTCACTGAGGACACTGCCATCTTCAGCATGTTCACCATCCTGTGGGATGCAGGGGACTCAGGGAATGCTTGCCTCACCAGCAAGGGCCAGTGTGCCAAGAGCAGCCAGGGCACCCCCAGGCTACACAGCCAATCTGGGCTTGGCCAGATGCAGTCCCACAGCCCCAGGGAGAGCAAATCCATCCACCTCCCTCACACCTGGGAACATTCTCATCCGAAAATAGGTTGACGGATCCCACCAGCTTCTTGAGCCTAGAGGGAACTTTCTGCTGGGCCAGGAGGAAGAGCCCCAGCTGTTCAGGGCAGCTGAGCATCGCATCCAAGTCAGTGCTGAGGACCTCTGGCAGCATCTCCTGCAACATGGCCTCCGAGACCTAAGGGTGGAAAGGTAAGAAATGGTGGCTTCCTCTGCAGGGTGAGCCCAGTGTGGCCTCTTTTACCTGCCAGCCTCCTCAGGGCCATCTGGCCAAGCATCAGAGTCATCAGAGGCCATTTGCTTAAAAACTCAAATTCCCAGGCAGCTGGGTTTTGACAAGCATCCTGCTGATGCTAACTGGCCCGGTACTACCTGCCTTTTTTTTTTTTTTTTTGGAGACAGAGTCTTGCTTTGCCACCCAGGCTAAGTGCAGTGATGTGATCTCAGTTCACTGTAACCTCCACTTTGCTGGTCCCAGCAATTCCCCTACCTCAGCTGGGATTACAGGTGTACACCTCCATGCCCAGCTAATTTTTGTATTTTTAGTAGAGGTGGGGTTTCACCGTATTGGCCAGGCTGGTCTCGAACTTCTGACCTCAAGTGATCCACCCACCTCACCCTCACAAATTTCTGGGATTAAAGGTGTGTGCCATGGCACCCAGCCAGAGCTACCCATTTAATTATTCCTGGTTTTGGGACTTCAGAGGACCAGCCCATTTATACAAAAGGGGCCCTAGGTAGACAGCTGGGATTCCTTTTGGCTCTGAGGTCGACTCCTCAGCAGTCCTGGCCTGGGACTTCCCAGCCCCTGCCTTTCTCTTCAGTGGCAAAAAGGCCTAGGTGTACCTTCCCAAGTCGGGCAGTGGAGGCCCAGGAGGGACCAGCCTTGACCAGGAGAACAACAGCAAGCGTTTCATATATCTGCCATGTGCCGAGTTCAGTTCTAGATCAGCACTAGCCACACGGGGCTGCTGAGCGCCTAAAAGGCAGCAAATCTGAACAGAGATGTGACTACATGTAAAATACATGCTGGATGTTGAAACACACTGAAAAAAAGAGTAATGATACCTCAACGATTTTTTTTTTCTGAAACAGTCTCATACTGTCACCCGGGCTGAAGTGCAGTGGCGTGATCTCGGCTTGCTACAACCTCTGCCTCCCGGGTTCAAGTGATTCTCCTGCTTCAGCCTCCTGAGTAGCTGGGACTACAGGCGCCTGCCACCATGCCTGGCTAATTTTTTGTAGAGACAGGGTTTCACCATGTTGGCCAGGCTGGTCTAGAACTCCTGACCTCGTGATTGACCCACCTCACTCTCCCAAAGTGCTGGGATTACAGGTATGAGGCACTGTGCCCCACCAGCTCAACAGTTTTGTATACAAATACATACTGAAATAATATTTTAGATATACTAGATGATGTAAAATGTAACTAATGACACCTGTTTCTTTTCAACTTTCTTTTTGTGAGACAGAGTTTCACTCTCATATGGCTTGGGCTGGCTGGAGTGCAGTGGCATGATCTCGGCTCACTGCAACCTCCAACTCCTGGGTTCTAACGATTCTCCTGCCTCAGCCTCCCAAGTAGCTGGGATTATAGGCATATGCCACCATGCCTGGCTAATTTTTTTATATTTTTAGTAGAGATAGGGTTTCTCCATATTGGTCAGGCTGGTCTCAAACTCCCGACTTCAGGTGATCCACCCACCTCCCAAAGTACTGAGATTACAGGCATGACTTTTTACCTTTTCAACAAAGTCACTGAAACACTTCAAATTATATGTCTTTATATTTCTATGGAACAGTGCTGTTCCTGATTCTCATCTGAGCCCTCTTTATGTCTTTGTAGCAGGAAGTGTCTCCCGAGCCCATAAGGCTGGTGAGCTCATACCTCGAAGAGAATGTCCACCAGGGCTTTCTGGGGCTGCTCCTGCAAGTGGTTCTGATACTGGGCCAGGGCCTGCAGCAGCTTCACTGACTTCCTCAGCACCTCCTGGTCCTGGTCCCCACAGAGGGGCAGAGGGTATGAGCAGGGACCACTAATGTCCCCCACCCATCCAAGACCAGCCTACATCCCCCACCCCCACCGTCCTCCCAAAGTTCTCACCTTCACCAGCCAGCCTGACTGAAAGAGGGCGAGCACTCTGAACAGGTCTGCAAAGAGAGCAGTCTCACCATTGACTAGAAAAGGATTCCAGGCACAGCATGAGGGGCTGTGGGACTTCCCCCCAGCCTCTCAACCCTGGGGCTACTGTCCTCCCCGGGCCCTCTCTCACCTTCTTCACCTGATGCAGGTCATATTTTTCTTGTATCTGCTGCAGGATGCTGCACAAATGGAGGTCTTCAAAAGACTGTAACAGCTGCCAGGAGAAAGAGGGGCTCAGGAAGTGGCCCAGTACATCCTCACAACTCAACCTCCCTTCCCCCTTCAACTCCTCCCAGGAAGCCTCGGGTGCCTAGTCGCACCCCATGAATGCCTCTGAAGCTGCTCTCGGAAACCAATCTTGCCTGCCTGCCCCATCTCCACTAGGATTTCTGAAGTACCGTCTGCAAGTGGTTCTGGGACTGGGACTGGAGCTGAGCCTTGGCAGCTTTCTTTTTGTTTTTTGAGATGGACTCTTGCTCCATTGCCCAGACTGGAGTGCAGTGTCGTGATCTCTGCTCACTGCAACCTCCACCTCTCAGGTTCAAGCAATTCTCCTGCCTCAGCACCCACAGTAGCTGTGCATCACCACACCCAGCTAATTTTTGTATTTTTAGTAGAGATGAAGTGTCAACCTGTTGGCCAGGCTGGTCTCAAACTCCTGACCTCAGGTGATCCACCCGCCTCGTCCTCCCAAAGTGCTGGGATTACAGGTGTGAGCCACCACCGCTCCCAGCCACAAGAGTACCTTCTACAGTCCCTAGATTGCTCTGCTGAAATTCTCAGCCACTGGGTATTCTCTCCACAGCCCGGTCTGGACTCCACTTAGGCTGATCCGGCGGGCCTGGGTCTTAACTGCTCTTCCCCTTGTCAGGGCTCCTCAGAGAGTGGGCTACTCCAATCAGCTGAATGCCCTGCAGGCCTAAGGGAGCCCACCCCACCCAGCGCTCACTGCTCCCAGCAAGTGTACCTAAGAGGCCGGGTAACGCAAGCACCAGAAAGAAAACCTGCTCCGCTTCCCACTCCCCCTGCCTGGACTGCTTTGGAGACAGGCCTTGCTCACGCTTTGAGGAGGCTCCCTCAGGTTGGCCTCCAACACACTCCCGACTTCTCTGTCGGGCTGCCCCTCCATCGCGCTGAGACACCCGCCCTCCTCACACCCCACAGTTTTCACCTGCGTGGCTGGGATCCTGCCAGGAACAGCACCTCACCTGTGCCAGGGCCAAACTGTAGCAGGGCCGGGCTGTTTCTCGCCAGACCCCGAGTCCCGTGATTAGCCGCTTCAGGGTGTATTTCATCTCAGACCCCTGCGGAACCAAGCGCACCCTCGCGTTGAACGGTGACAAGAAGCTGCACACCCCGTGCACCTTATCATCCAGGTTCGCGACCACGTGCCCCCATCCCAAATCCCTGGGCCCGCCGCCGCTTCCTTGTCGGGAAGTGCGCGGCCCCTGCCCCAAACCCGCCGCTCCATCTTCGGCCTAGCGCGCAGATACTCCGGCAGCTTCGTGGCCGCAAGTCGCGTCTCCTGCTCAGGCTTCGCAATGTCCCAGAAGTGTTTTAACAGGCCGTGGCGATCCGCAGGCCGGGCGCTGTTCTGCGTCGCGTCTCCGGGCGACGGGGGCTCGGAGGGTTCCTGGCTCCCCATCTCCGCCACACTCATGGAAACACGCGTGCCCCGGATCCAGCCACTTCCAGGTCAGGGCCCGGCGCATGCGCACTGGTTTTTCAGTTGGCTCGGAGGGGGAACTGGGAGGGGCGGGGCAGGGGACGGGGGAACCAAGAGGAGCGAGGCTGGGGCGGGCACCCAGGAGGGGCGGCATTTCCGCCCTCGCTCTGAGCGGAAGTTCCTCGCTGCGCCGGCGCGGTTTCTCCAGCCTTCCGCTCACGTCCGTTCTGTCCCGGAGGCTGGGGCATCTGCCCCTTTGGAGCCCCACGGGGCGGTTTCTGAGGGTCAATCTCGGAAACCAACTGAGGTGCAGCACATCATCCGCCTCTTCCCAGGGCGGCCCTGTGCTCGGAGCCCTGAGCCATTCAACAGTTACTTTGCGCAGCGCTAGGCGGTTGGAACAAAGCGGCCGCTTTCTGGAGGAACTCGGAGCTAAGTGCATCAAAAAAGATCATAATTATGAGGCCGGGCATGGTGGTCACGCCTGTAATTTCAGCACTTTGGGAAGCCGAGGTGGGTGGATCACGAGGTCAAGATATCGAGACCATCCCCGTCTCTACTAAAAATATAAAAATTAGCTGGGCATGGTGGTGCATGCCTGTATTCCCAGCTACTCGAGGCTGAGGCAGGAGAATTGCCTGAACCCAGAAGGCGGAGGTTGCGGTGAGCCGAGATCGTGCCATTGCACTCCAGTCTGTATAACAACAGCGAAACTCCGTCTCAAAAAATAATAATAAAATAAAAAGATTCGTAATTATGAAGAGATGGGAATGCAGGGGTCAGAGGAAGCCTTTTCAGTGCTGGAACGTTAATACATCACCGGTTAAAAACATGCCTGTGGGAAGTTGAAAGGTTTCTCTTAAAGTTTGCTAGTAACTGTTAAGCTGTGGGGGAAAACCCGGCAAGAGCCGAGGCAAGGTGAAGTCTCAGCATGTTCTCATATAAATGTAGCATTAGTAAACAATCTTGCATGTTCTTCACATGTACCCCAAAACCTAAAATGCAATTTAAAAAACTCAAAAAAGACTGAGATATAGTTATTCCTATATGATCATAATCATATAGCTATTCATATGTAATCACAACTATTTACAGATGTTTAATCACATAATCACATAGCTCTTCATATTAATCATACATATAGGTATGTAATGATATAATCTCTAATCTTACTTATAAGCCTCAGGAAGTATGGGACTGACATGGCTTTGGAAAAGAGGTGACCCTAAGGCCAGATGCTCTAAGCCCTCTGTCACGCCCGCATAAGGGCTGCTGGAGGACACCTTGGCTGTGCGACAGTGTCAGTGCTCTGAAAGCACCCGGTTTAGCCAGCTAGGGGAGGGGGACGTCTTCCTGGGGGAGTAAGGAGAAAACTCCGCTCCCCCAAGCTCTTGTGGCAGGCATGACGCTGTCAGGGAGGCCCACAGACACCCAGGGACTTAACTGTTTCTCTGTGGTGCTGTGCTTGAGTGGTCACATTCCGTGGCTACTTTCAAGTTCTGCTTCTGTACCTGGTTCCTCTTTTTCTTAGAATATAAGAATTAGTAACATAAATCTTAGTGACCTTGTTATTTCTTGACAAGTATAGGAAAAAAGTGCTGATGCCTTAGGTTTTCTCCTCGCCTGGCCTCAGTCTCCAAGACACATGATTTACATGACCCTTCACTGACCATCATTACCTCATTCTACCTGCTCTTCCCCCTGTAAGTGGGAAGAGCATCCAGGCCTGAGAAATAAATATGTCTGCTTTCTTTTATTTTCATATTCTGTGGCTACTTCCTGTAGCCCAGGAAGTAAAAAATTGCGTTGCTAAAAGATCCTTTGTTTCGCACTGAGCATCTATTTCCACCAGCCACTAATTATCATTCAACAGAGTCTATGGTAATGATTTGAGGGGTTGGTCAGGGAAGGCCTCTGTGAGGAAGTGGCTGGCATTTGGGCTGAGAGCTGAGTGACAAGAAGCCCTTCCCCACACTCCTGCAAGGATCTAAGGGGAGGAAATCCCAATCCTTGCATCTGCAAAGGCCCGGGTCTGCAGGGGCTGAGGCTGCCAGGAGGCTCAGAGAAGCAAGGTTGCATAGGATCCCAGGCTAGGATTTCACTCAGAGTGTGGTAGAAGTCATTGGTGAGTTTAATGCAGGGGCAGGCCTGGATCCGATTTAAATTCTCACCAGGTGATACTGGCTACTGTGTGGGGAATGATGGATTGTAGGTCCACAGAAGTGGAAGAACAGGAAGACCGGTTAGAGACAGTGGTGGACTGGACCCAGGGAAATGAGAACAGGTCAGATTTGGGCTGATGTGGAGCAGTGGTGGGTGATGGATTGGATGTGGGGAGAGAGGAAGTGAGGGGGATGCCAGGTTTGGGACTAAAATAACTGAGTACATTGTGGTGCCATTACTGAGCTGGAGAAGAATTTTCTTGGGAGTAAAAGGTGGAGGTCATGGGAATAAGGGTCTATTAAATCAGAGGAGCCTTTTACAATGGCAGGGAAGGGAAGCGCTGCTGGTCACATTTGCTTCCTGGTTTGAGAAGCTGTTTTTAGAAGGCTGTGGTCCAGAGAGGAACTAACGCTGTGAGGAGGTCAGGGCTACCCTTCACCTTGAATTTCCACCCATTCAACTCCAACTCATCCTCTCAACTGCTTCCCTGCTCTAGTGCCCCAGGAGGCAGGAGGTGAGCGGAGCCGGGGTGGAAGCTGAAAGATACCAACCCAGGCTCTCCCCTCTCTGTTTACTGGTCACCTGTGCTGCCCATCAGGGAAGCCCCGACTCCAGTTGCTTCAAGGTTGATGGGAATTAACCAAGAAGCAGGAATGGCTCTTGGCCTCCGGGAGACTTGATCTTTGTTTTTGTATTAGTCTGGTTGAGGAAGATGGATAGAGGGTGCCCTGAAGGGAAGGACGGGATGCCAGCAGTACCCTGGGCTCTGCCTGCCCTGCTCCCCGGGGCCAAGTGCTTGCACTCTTTCTGCTGTCCTTCCAAAAGCTGGATCTGAACTCAGTGCTTGCCCCGGGCCCTGTTGCTTTTTCCTCATCACCGTCGTGTTCCTTAGCTGGCAAAGGAGCCAGCGATTCCCTCAGTGTGGGTGGTTTGGAGAATGATTGTGCTAGCTCTGGATCCCGCAACTCAAATCTAGCTAACGGAAAAAGCCAAAGGTTGGGGGCCTGAGCCAGCAGTGAGCACATAATAGATGCACACTCTTTTTTAGAAACGAGGTTTCACTCTTGCTGCCCTGGCTGAAGTGCAGTAGTGCGATCTTGGCTCACTGCAACCTCCACCTACCAGGTTCAAGCAATTCTCCTGCCTCAGCCTCCCAACTAGCTAGGATTACAGGTGTGCACCACCACACCCAGCTAATTTTTTAATATTTTAGTAGAGATGGGGTTTTGCCATATTGCCCAGGCTGGTCTCAAACTCCTAGCCTCAGGTGATCCACCTGCATAGGCCTCCCAAAGTGCTGTGATTACAGTCATTAGCCACCATACCCAGCCATTATTATTATTATTATTTCAAAAGACAGGGTCTCACTGTTTTCCAGGCTGGAGTGCAATGGTGTAATCCTAGCTTCCTGCAGCCTTGAACTCCGGCTCAAGCAAGCTTCCTGCCTCAGCCTCCAGGTAGCTGGGACAACAGGCATCTGCCACCACACCTGGCAAGTTTAAAACTTTTTGGTACAGACAAGCTCTTGCTATGCTGTCTAGGCTGGTTTCAAACTCCTGGCCTCAAGGAATCTTCCTGCCTTAACCACCAAAGTGCTTGAGATGACAGGTGTGAGCGGGGGTACACTCCCTTGCTGCTGGGTCTGCTCTACTTTTGCCCCAGGCTTCAGATAACTCTGCCTTGTGCCAGACCCACCCCATCCTGTTAGATCCCCTTGTAGGGGCAGCAGCCATGGGGGACATGGGAGACATGCACGTGCTCTGCATAGGCTGCCACCTGCAGCAGGATCCCTTGACCAAAAGTGCTGGGGCTGCTCTGTTGGTTCTTGCTGCCCCTGGTGCTGGTGCTGGGCCTGGGTTTGGGGCTCTGCCAGATGGCTGCTGAGTATGGGTGTGAGTCATGGCTCTGGCCATATCAGGGGTCCCTGAAGCACTAGCCCAATACTTTGGCCTCTGTGTCATCCAGGCTGGAGGATGAGGGGGCAGGCCCAGGCACTAGCAGTAGACATGGCCGTCGTGTTGCTGAGCAGAACCCCCGTGCCTGGGAACAGGTATGCAGAACCAAGGGAGCCATTGCGGAGGGAGGTGAGAAGGAACACAGAGCCGCTGCTGTCCATGGTGGCCAGGGTGCTGCTCTTGGGCCTCAACAGCAGTTTGCAAGACTGGTGGGCGGGGTCAGGGCTGGGTGCCCCAGACCTAGGACTGCCTCCAGCAGTGCCAGCAGCTCTGGGCCAGCTGAGGGACTGGGGGGTGGTGAACAGGATGCCCTGGGCCATGGGTAGCTGCTGCGCTGGTTCCAAAGGGGGGCCTGGGCCCAGCCAAGGGCACCTCCTGCCAGCAACTCAGTAGTGAGTCCCCGGCAAGGTCTGAGGTGGGAGCGAGGGCTGCCCTGTGAAGCACATCTGCCAGCTGTGGGTTGGTGGCTCAGGCTCCAGCGCCCAGGGGCATCCCATCAGGATGGCAAAGCAGTGGACAGAGACCTGTGCCCTGAGCTGCCAGGCCCTTGCCATGGGCTTGTCCACCAGGAAGCCCTCCGAGCCAGTGTGGGTAGGGCCGATAGCAGGCGTGGCCAGGGCAGGCAGCCAAAGCATATGTGCAGCAGGTACAGGGTGGGCAGAGCTGCAAGCAATGGCACTCCAGGGGCCAGGGGCCAGGATCTGTGCTGGGCCTGATGTCAGGGCCGTGGAACTGCCCGAGGAGCTATCGTGGAAGAGAAACCCAAAACATGGCACATGCAGGAGACAGAGGGGTCAACTCAGCAGTCGTGAGTCAAGGGCTGCTGACTTGTTTCAGTCAAGATCCCTTGACTGAGTCTGG